CCCCAAAACCCCAAAACCCCAAAACCCCATGTATAATCATTTCTAAACATTTTTGCAGATGAAATTATTAATAACTCAAGAATATTATCATAGTATAATTCTACAGTCACTCATTGCATTTTGATAAAATTAAAATGGAACAATCTTAAATTTCTAAGAATCTTAATACATCTTAACCAACAAATTTTGACTGGGCTAACCCACTCTTAACAGATCACTACCAGGTCACCATGAGCTATGCGTATTGGAATAATAACAGACATAACGATGTTGCTGTGTTCGAAGCCTTCTTTAGAAAGAATCCATTCAAGGGAAAATTTACAATTTTCGCCGGGCTTGATGAAGTCACTCACTTCATTGAAAATTTTAAGTTTACTGATCCTCAGATAGAATATTTAAAAACAGTAATGCCCTAGGCTAAGCCTTAGTATTTTGAATGGCTAAAGAACTTAGACACATCATAGGTTATAGTTTCAGGAGTAAGAGATGGAAGGTTAGTCTTCCCAAGGGAGCCTTTGCTTAGACTTGAAGGTCCCTTGACAATATTGCAACTCTTAGAAACACCAGTCTTAAATCTTATCAACTTTGCATCTTTAGTATGTACTAATGCCTCAAGAATGAAGTTTTTAGTGGGAGAAGGAAGATCTTGCATTGAATTTGGGTTAAGAAGAGCTTAGGGTCCGAATGGAGCTATGACAGCAACTAAATACTCATATCTTGGAGGATTTGACGGTACAAGCAACGACTATGCAGGATATCTCTACGGTATTCCAGTTGTGGGGACTCATGCTCACTCTTTTGTTATGTCATTTGAAAGCCCAGATGAAATAAATGACCACAAATTTTTGGATGGAGTTGATGTCTTGGAGAAAGCAATGAAGTTCAGAACTGAATTAGGTTGGGAATAGACTGAGCTATCCGAACTTTATGCTTTTGTTTCATACGCATGTTCCTTTCCTAGAAATTTCATAGCTTTAGTAGATTCTTACTCTACCTTAAACTGTGGAGTTAAAAACTTCCTTAGCGTATATTTAGTTCTCTATGAACTTGGTTACAAGGAAGGATCTTACGGAATCAGGCTAGATTCTGGTGACCTTATCCAGCTTTCTGTTGACTCAAGAAGGATGTTCAATGAGACTGGCAAAAGATATGGATATGATTTTTCACATTTAAAGATATTTGCATCAAACGATATCAATGAAGACAGGATAAAGGAATGCAACAGTAAGGGCCATGAAATCAATGCATTTGGGATAGGTACGAATTTAGTCACTTGTTAGGCCTAACCTGCTTTGGGAATGGTTTACAAACTTGTTGAGATAAATGGCATTCCAAAAATTAAGCTGAGTGATGAAGTTGAAAAAACTAGCCTTCCAGGAAAGAAAAAGATCTTGAGAGTATATTTAAATGAAGGTGATATTCAACCAAGTTTCGACATTTTAGCATTAGAGGATGATACCTTAAAAGATAATTAAGAAATTAAGGTTTGGATTCCATTTACAAAATAAGAAAAAACAGTCACCCCTTTTAGAATAGAAGAGCTCACTAATGTTTTAATTGAAAACGGAAAATCGATACTTGATGCTGTGAAGATTTAGGACAAGAGAACTAGATGCATGGCTGAATTCCAGGCCTTTGGAGGAAAGGATAGACTTCTAGATGATACCAATAAGTCTGACGAGTATTAAGTATATCTGACAGACAGTCTAAATACTATGCTTAATGAAACTCTAAATAAGGTTAAGCCACAATGATTTCGATCTCATTATTCAGGAATTTTGATCAATATTTTAATTATCTTGTGATTATTAACCAATTACAATGCTTGGGGTTTTGGGGTTTTGGGGTTTTGGGG